GGGGGGGACTCTAAGGCCGGGAGGTGGTGGACGAAGCGCCGGAGCAACGCCTGCAAGGTCACTGCGGAGCTAGACCCTGGGCTGTTTCGCAAAATATCGCACCCCAAAGAGGGAAGCGCCGGGAACCCACGGGAACCCCCCACCCTCTCCCCACACCTGCGCTGCGGCTGAGCTTGGAACACGTGGTAGCTCAGCTCCAGGCTTCCCAGGCGGCAGCAGGGACTCCCTACCTCGCAGGGGCGTGCACTCGCCCAGGGGTCCCCAACCAAAAGAGGCGGCGCTCCCTGGAGCAGAGCAGCGGGCTCCCTGAGCCTGTTTCATCCCCGCAGCAACTGGGACCGAGTTTTTCTTCCCACCAACCCTCGACCCCGGCATCTTCCAACAATCCCTACCTTTCTCTACCACCTAGCCAACAGACAAGACACAAAGAAAAAAAGAAAAGAAAGAAGTGGGCCACACACGCCGAGGGTCTCCCTGCAGGCTCAACCTCAGCCTGCACATGGGAAGAGGAGGAAGCGCACCTCCTCTCTTCCCATCCCAACTCCCCGACCCGCGGATCCTCGCAGCCAGCAAGGAGCTCCAAAGAGGCCGAAGGGAAGAGGTAAGGTTGGAAGAAGCAAAAAGCAGAGCGAGAGGGAAGAAAATATCCAACAAAACCACGCTAACGCGCCCCCTACCTGGGTGCAACATACTTTGGAAATAGAAGATGACCAAGATAAAGGATCCCAAGCAAGTGGCCAGCACCATCCGGCAAATTCTGTTCATCCTCATCACTTCCAGCAGCGCCGGCTTCATGGCTTTGTCCTAGCTGCGGGGACCCGGCTGTCCGGGAGGCGCGTCCGGAGCGCAGAAGAGGGGACCCCGCCGCGAGGGACCAGCGCCCAGGAGTCTCTGAACCGAGCTGGCTGGGGTCCCGAAGCTGGAGCCCGCTAGCTTCACCAAGGCTCTCCGAGCCCCCAGCCCGGATCTCGGGGGTGCAAGGCACGGGAGTTGCTGTGCGAGTGTGGAGATGCGTGGCCCCGGCCGCGCGCTCCTGCCTGTCCTCCTCGCTTCTCTGCTCGATGCTCCGCCGCCTCCCCTGCTAGAGCCTGCGGCCGCCGCTGCCTTCTTGAGGGCCGGGCGACCGGGATGCGAGAAGGAAGGTGCCGCCGCCGTGCGCTGGCCTCTGTGACTGTCCAGGCCCCCCGCCCGCCCGCCCTCGCCAAAAGCTACTTCATTGCGCTCCAGTGATCTATATATTCCAGGGCTGGGTTTTACCAAACGCAACTCGCAGCCCTCGGCGAGGGGAGGGCGCCGGCGAGCGGGGAGGGCGGGGCCGCGCCGGGGCGGAGCGTCGCCTCCTCCCACCCCCGCCCCTGCCGAGACGTGGTCGCGTCCAGCTGTTTCCCGGGGAGTCCGGAGTGCGCAGCGCGCTCCCGCAGGGTCCCAAAAACCCTCGGTCCCGGGGCCGAGCCGGGCCGCTACCTCGCGGCCGTGCGAACATTTCCTTGCGAACCCGGAGGGGAAAATACACGAATAAGATCGTCTTAGTGCTGCTGCCCGGTCGCCGGTGTGGCGAGAAGCAGGTTAGGGGGCCGAGGCGACTGGGGGCTCTGCTGTCACGCCATGGTTTAAAATCTCTGCGATTTAGCAGGGGAAGTTGCCCCAAGCTCCCCTGAGAGCAACTGCCCTTTTCACAATGATCAAAACCGGGCAGTTTCGTTGTCCCCACCCCCCCGGACAGCTCAGCTTGAAGGCTTCCTGTGCAAATAGGTTAAAGAGAGAGGACTTAAAGTCAAGGTTAGGGAGACTGAACCGCGTTCAGGGTCTGGCGGCAGCAGTGCCTTCCTAACGCACGCTCGTACCCGCAGCCCTCGAGGCAAAGGGGGTTTGTGGCTTTTGTAACTGTTTCACCAAAGGGTAGAGCTTTCTGTAATTTATCCGAAGTGCATGAGTCAGTCGGGCGGGTATGAAAAGACGCCCCTAAAAGTCCAACAAAGTGCTGGGGCCGGGGGTTGGGGGGGGGACCCAAGCCGGCTTAGCCTGGCAGGTAGAGAGAAAGATGGCGCTGCTTTCCAGCTCCGTGTGAAACGCTTTGAAACGTTCAGCTCCGTGAATGGATCAATAAAGTGGATGCCCGTCAATGGTAAGGAGATCACTTTTATGCCAGGAAAACAATGCTATTGTAAAGCCTGACCTTTGTGCTTAATCACTAACCGAATTTACAGAAAACTGGATTCATAATAAACTAAGACATAATCAAATAAAACAAGATATTGTATCTTTCACGTTATATGCCTTCACTGAGACATTGACAAATTCTTGTTGAATCTGAATGTAATGGGCCTTATCCTCCCCTCAGATTGGACAGACTCACAAGCTGCTTTCTGGTGCATGCATACAGAAACACCTCTGAAACACCTTTTCCCTTCTCCCGAAGTCCCACCCCTTAGGAAAAGTCAGCAGCCTTCCTGTGATTCAATAGTCAATTACAGCGAGGTATTTATGCAGCCAGTTAGTGCTGTGTTCGTTTGTCTTCATTTGTGGTCGCTTGCTCAAGGTGGCGGGCTAGGACCCTTCTCCGAGAGTCCCCCCGCATGCTGTGACCAGGCAGTTTCCTTTCCTCCTGGTGGGGTGGGAGGGTGCTCCAGGGCTGCCGGTTTTACAAAGCACAGTAAAGAGGGATTTGCATGCATCGCATCTGCTGGCCTTCTCCCCAGGGTAGAAAACCACACTCTGTGTTGGCCTATAATTCCAGCGCTCAGGGAGGCAGAGGCAGGTGGATCTCTGTGAGTTCCAGGCCAGTCTGGTCAACAAAGTAAGTCCAGGACAGCCAAGACTGCACAGAGAAACCCTGTCTCAAAAAAAAAACAAAAAACAAAAAACAAAACAAAACAAAAAACAGAAAAAGAAAACCACACTGTCAATCCCAGACATTCATAATAAGCCAGCTTGGGAAGTCACATGTCCAAGGAAGAAGTGAGAACTGTGATTCCTTTCTGACTTTGGAAGCTTGAGTAGGACCATGAGCTGGAGAAGAGTGGTAAACCTTGCCAGACATCTGTGCCTTGAATCCTCAAAATCTGGGGCTGGCCTCCAGCATACAGCACGGGAAGAGGCCCTGCCGATGACCCACCACCTCTTCCAGCAAGTGTCTTCTTATTTCTCACTGGAATTCTCTCTTCCCTCTGAGCTCTGAGCCCTAGCTCCAACCCCATCTCCAGCCACTGTGCCCTGTAGACAGAGCTCTCTCCAGAAGGATCAACTTCTCCGCCTCTCTCTCCATCCCACTCTAATGCCCAACACAATGAGCAGCACCCAGCAGACAGAAGTCACAGACAGAGAGATCCTGTTCTCTTGGTTGAGGAAGTTGAGGTAGAGCCCTCTCAAGCACGTGGTCATGGTGTGGCAATGGTCTGTGACCCTGCCACCCTCAGCACATTGGCAGTGAGGGGAAAGGTCCCAGTTCTTATTCCCATGTCAAGCTGTAAACTCACCAACTGTGAATGAAGCCAACACTTTCTGTCCCTAACAGACACTTGTTGTCCTTTGCTTGCGTTTACAGATATTGATAAGGAAAAAAAAAATCAATGGATAAGATGTGAAAAAACAAAAAGGTTGTATCTTTTTAATGCTGACCCAAAGTAAGAAGCCTGTCCCTAAGGCCAGGCTTTGAGAGCTGGGACCTACCTCAGTAGTAGAGCACTTGCCTAGCATGCATGAAGTCGTGGGGTCAGTCTCTAGGACAGCAAAGTAAAATAGAGCAGCTTTGTCTTCCCAATGTACCCGCTAAGACAGGCAAGCTTTTGTGGCAATGGCAGAGGGTTCCTACTTCCAGTGACTTAAAGCAACAGGGCTACACTCCCCTCCACTGTGTGCCTAGCATGGATAGGCAGAAGGGTTGCACCTTGGGAATGTTTCGAAGATGAGGCAAAGCAGCACCTTCTAGCCCAGTGGTTCTCCACCTTCCTAATGCTGCAACCCTTTAATGCAGTTCCTCACGTTCTGACCACCCTCAACCATAAAATGATTTTTGTTGCTACTTCATAATTATAATTTCACCACTGGTATGAATTTCAGTGTACATATCTGTGTTTTCCAGTATTCTGAGGTGACACCCACAGGGGTAGCAACCCACAGGTTGAGAGATGCTGTTTGCAAGGCTTGAGGGGAGGGGGCTTCGGGGAAGTCTCACCAAATGATTAAGTCATCTAGCCCTCAAGGTGTACACGGAGTTTCTGAGCTTCATTTATTGGCCAGGACCTGTCACAAGGCTGCCTGGCATCACACTTAGGTCAGGAAGTGTGCTTCTACGAACCACAAGTGGTACAAGGGTGGAGAGCAGCCTTCCCGCCTAGGACTCTGCCTGCTCCTCAGATCTCATTTCCATCCTTTCTCTGCACTCCTTCCCGGCTAGGACTCTGCTTACTTCTCACATCTCGTTTCTGTCCTTTCTCCCTTTTGCCCAGGAGCTCGTGGATGATGGTACTGAGCTCAGCTCCAGTGGGACCTGCAGGGATCACTTTTCAAAAATGAAAGTAAATCTTGCAGAACTGAAAGCCTAGCATGGCTTTGGGGAAAAACAAAACAACGACAACGACAACAAAACTGGTCGATCCAAAAGTCCTGCGTATGCCACCAATCTTGTAAATTTGATAAGAACAAATAGATGCTAAAACCCATAGCTCCAGGAGATGCCTTTTGTGAGCAGTGAGCAGACACATGTACCGCTGCCTCTGGGCCTAGCAGGCTGAGCTCAGGCTCATGCCTGCATATTCTGCCCACAATGTCCTGTCCTGTTACAATCTTCCAAAACTGGCACAATGCCCCTCTCTGCACTTTGTTGGAGCGAGAAATGGACCCAGAGTCCACGGAAGACAGAGAGCCTTCAGTGTCTTCCAGGAAGACAGTGAATGTGTCTTATACCAACCTGGGCTGGAGGGCCCTCCCACTGGCTCCTCCAAGGATTGGCTTTTCCCATTTGCATCTCTCTGACACCTCTCGCACAAAGTACACTCAGTTAGCCTGAGCACAGTCAATATTTGTGGAGCTGAATTAAAAACCATTTGCCTGCAGCACTGGGAGATTTGGGGTATAAATTTTCTACAGGTAGGTAAACCACAAGTACACAAGTGGGCCACTCACGACATGGCCCTGAGAACAAGCTCTTCCTCATCTTGCCAGCTTTTCAGAACCAGACTGGAAAGAAAGAAGGGAAGAGAAAAAGGGTAGGGGGAAAAGAGACATCTGGAAAGAGAAAGGGATGAAAGGAGGGGGAAAGAGGAGAGGAAAATAGGAAGGAAAGAGAGACGGAGGTAGGGACAGAGGCAAAGAAATGAGGGGGAAGAAGAGAAGATAGAGACAGAGTGAGGAGGGGATGCTGGAAGGAAATGCCCACCTATCCTCTGTCATTTCAGATGCTACAACATTCCTCTCTCCAGCTTAGAACCCAGAGATTCCCCCATGACCTCCGAGGTCTTTTGGACACTTGGGCTGTACCCAAAGCCTGCTAAAAAGTATTTCATCTCTCAAACAACCCAGAAATCACTTCCCTCACTTGCCCTCATTCCCTACGAATAAGTCTTACCCTGTATCCCTGTTGGCTCCTAAACTCTATCTAGAGCTTTGAAAGCCCTCCAACTTCCATCAAAGCTGTACACTCCTGCCTTGATGCCCTTGCGTCCTGTCTATTCTTAATTGGAGCTACCACTCTCTAGGCATAGCCACATCCCAAGAGCATTTATGCATTTCCTTTTTCCATGCTCATCCTCCTTTTACAGAGGAGGAAACCAAGGCAGAGAAGAGTAACGTCATATCCCAGGGGCATAGAGCTGGTAAAGGCAGATCCAAGATCACAAAGCTAGAAGCCTGGCAGAACCAATGCGCTAGGGTTACCCTCTGCCTTCTGAGCAGGCTGGGAGGCTGGAGGAAGGTGACATCATCCTCTCTCTCTCTCTCTCTCTCTCTCTCTCTCTCTTTCTCTCCTGTTCTTTGGTTGTTTGGTTTTTGTTTTTCAAGATAGAGTTTTTTTGTATAGCCTTGACTGTCCTGGAACTCGCTATGTAGACCAGGCTGGCCTCGAACCCAGAGATCCACCTGCCTCTGCCTCCCAAGTGCTGGTATTAAAGGTGACACATCACCTCTCTAAGCCTTACTTTCTCCACCTGCTGACTGCTGGCTCCCCTTGCTGTCTTTTCAACCC